TAAACACATTACTGAAAATTCTACCCAGTGCAGTAAGGCAAGAAACAGAAATAAAGGCACACAGATACAAAAGGAAGAAACAAAACTACTCCTATTTGCAGACGACATAACAATCTACATGAAAAATCCTGAGGAGCCTACCAAAACACCTCCTAGAACTAATGAGTTTAAAAAGGTTGTAAGACATAAAATCAACATACAAAAATCAACTCTATTTCTAGAAACTAGCAAGAACACATAGAAACCAAAATTAAAAATAAAATACCATTTACAATCACACCAAAAAAAATCTCAATGAAGCTATAATTTTTAAAATAAAATACTTAGGTACAAATCTACAGGGCTTCTATGCTGAAAACTACAAAACACTGCTGAAAGAAATTAAAGAAGTCTTAAATAAATGAGGAAATATACCATGATCATGGATTGGATGACTTAACATAATAAAGATGTTAATTCTGCCCCAAATTGATACATGGGTTTAATGCACTTCCTATAAAAATATCAGAATGACAGTTTGCAGAGATAGATAAAACTATTCTAAAATTTATGTGGGAAGGCAAAGAAACTAAAATAGCTAAAACAACATTGAAAAAGAATAAAGTGGAAGGAACCATGCTATCCTATTTCAAGACTTATCATATAGCTACACTAGTCAAGATTGTGTGCTATTGGCAGAGGAATAGACCCAAAGATCAAGAGAACAGAATAGAAAACATGGAAATAGACCTACAGAAGTACAGCCAAATGATTTTTGACAATGGTGCAAAAGCAATTCAATGGAGGGAGTATAGTTTTTTCAATAGTTGGTGCTGAAGCAATGGATATCTATAGGAAAAAAAAATTCCTGACCTGAACCTCACACCTTACATAAAACTCAATTCAAAATGTGTCATAAATGTAAATCTAAAAAGTAAGACTATCAAAATGGAAGAAAATATAAGAGAAAATCTTCAGGACTTGGAGAAGAGTTCTTAGACATGATACCAAAAGCATAATCCATAAAAGAAAAATCAGTAAATTGGAGTTCGTCAAAATTAGAAATATTCAATCTGCAAAACCTCATGTGAAAAGGATGAAAGGACAGTCCAGAGACTGGGAGAAAATATTTTATAAACCACATATCTGATATATAGATATCTACATAACTGGAATTTATAAAGAACTCTCAAAACTCAACAGTAAAAAAACAATCCAATTAGAAAATGGGCAAAGTACATGAACAGACATTTCACCAAAAAGAATACATGGACGGCAAATAAGCACATGAAAAGATGTTCAGCATCAAGAGCAATTAAGGGAAAAGTAACTTAAGATCACAATGAGACAATACCACATACCTATGAGAACAGCTAAAATTTTTTAAAGTGAAAATATCAAATGCTGGAAAGGCATGCAAAGGAACCGGCTGGCTCTCTCATACATTACTGGTAAGACTATAAAATGGGAGAAAGTAGTTCGGCAGTGTCTTTATAAAACTAAACATGCAATTAACATATGATCTATCAATCACACTCCTGGGCATTTATCTCAGAAATGAAAATTTGTGTCCACACGAAAACTTGTGTACAATTGTTCTTAACAGCTTTATTTATAACAGCCAAGAACTGGAAACAACCAAATATCCTACAAATAGTGAATGGTTAAAAAAAACAACAGTACATTCATATCATGGAATACTACTCAGCAGTAAAAAGAAAGGAACTACTGAAACTCAAAACAACTGGGATGGATCTCAAAAGCACTGTGTTGAAGGAAAAAAACCCAATCTCAAAAGGTCATGTACCATAGGAATCCTTTTATGTAACATTCTCAAAATGACAAAATTAGAGATGGAGAAATGATTAGTGGTTGCCAAGAGGTGGGGATGCTGGGGAGGAGGGGAATGGGTGTGACTAGAAAGGAGAACAAGAGGAAGATTTTTGTGGTGATGCAATAATTTTGTATCCTGACTGTGATGGTGGTTATAGGAACCTACACATGTGGTAAAATGGCATGGAACTATATATACTTTATATCGATGTTAATTTCCTAGATTTGACATTGTACTATACTTATTATGTAAAGTGTAACCAATGGGGGAAACTAGGTAAAGGGTATATGGGACCTCTCTATACTATCTTGGCAACTTCTTATATAATTACTTTTAAATAAAATTTGAAGAAAAAAGTATTAACTTAAGGTCTTTATAACACTTACTTAAATGATGCTCCTACCTGCTTTTTATGTTTGTGTCACTTTTAAATATCTCTATAAGTAGACCACTAATCTTTTCTGCTAATTAACTGTAGTTTCTTTTTTTTTTTTTTTTAAGATTTTATTCATTTATTTGACATAGTGAGAGAGGGAACACAAGCAGGGGGAGTGGGAGAGGGAGAAGCAGGCTTCCTGCCGAGCAGGGAGCCCGATGTGGGGCTCGATCCCAGGACCCTGGGATCATGACCTGAGCCGAAGGCAGACACCCAATGACTGAGCCACCCAGGCACCCCTAATTAACTGTAGTTTCAATGATTTGTGCTTGAATGTTGAAAAACATGTTTTATGGTGAGCAGCTCCATAACCATGACATTTCCAAACTGGAAGGTGCTCTAATCTCAGACTTAATTAAAATAAAAGCTGTTTGCAGATAACTAGTATTCAGTTTAAAAAACAAGAAGTAGTATAAATCTGGAAAATCATGCCACAATTATAGAAAAAAATCTTATCAATTATACAAGGACAAAAGCACCCTCAGAGTACCCACACAGAGACTCTAGTCTGTCTTCCAGGTCTTCCCAGCTCCTTCTACAGGCCAGTAGGCCTTATAACCTGACACCATGCCTGGCACACATGAGGAAGGCCTCAGTAAAAACTGTTAAGCAAAATGAATGACCTAAGAGCTGCCTTATTTTTGCCCACTGAGACAAGAAATGTGGGTTTGCAGATCTTGCCATATTCTGATCTATATTTTGAGCACTGTTCCACAATACATTTCTACTTGGAGAGAAAAAAAATTTATATAAATAGAATTTTTTTAAAGTAGAAACTGAATTAGTAATCAAATATATAGCACCTAAGTTACTATTAGGCTTTATAAAAATTATATCTTAATCTGCCTCCCCCATTTCCTAAATCCTCTTCTCAGCATCTATTTATAAACTGCTCATGTCATAGATTATCCCTATTCTACCAGCAAAGACTTTGTGCCTACCTGGAGGCCACTTGTTCCCACTGGTTTTTTTCCTCCCCCCAATCCCTACCACATATACTCCTCCCCCTCCTCCCTCCAAAAGAGAGAGAGAAAGAAAACATGAGAGAAAAACAGCATTAAATGACCAGGCCATGACCAGGCCTTGCAAAAGAGTAACATAAACAAGCAAAACAAGTTTCACTTGGCACTCAAATATTCAAAAAAGTCTTCACCATAAGGCATATTATCCACTCCTCCAATATACAATACAGAAAACAATACTGAGTTATGTCACCCTTACTGAATTAATCTTCAGCCACAAGACTTGAGAACTGGTTACCCAATTTGTAGATCACTCAGGCTCCTTTGTTCCATGTTGGTTGGGGATAGTGTTTGTGTGGCGGGCGGGGTGGGGGCGGGTAAGAGGTCAACTCTTTGATAGGAGTTAAGAAGAGTAGGGGACTGAACTTGATAGCAGCTAATATTACATGCGAGACACTGTGATAGGAACTTTTAAACTGATAATGTTATTTAATGCTTATAACTATCTACAAGGAAGACATAATCTACACTGGACAGGTGGGAAAACTGTAGCTCCAAAGACATAAGTGATAGATCAGGATTCAAACCCAAACTTCCCTTACTCAAAATATTCAAAAGCCTATGTAACTTTTTCACTTTATTCTGCCTCTCTAAATCCCATCTTTGGGATTACAGCTATTCTATTTCTCCTAGAACATTACTACTCAACTAGTCAGAGACCTGTTAATAAGAGGAACAGAGGCCTAGGGTTACACTTGTTACAACTGCTCCTTACTCATTGTGTTACTTGGAATAAGTCAGTTTTCCTCTCTGACCATCAATCACCTGTTGGATGCAGCTGGTTTCTGAGGCTCCGTCTAAGAATAAAACTTTCTGACTCCAAGATGTCTTCTGTGTTGTAAACATTAACACTTAGAGCTATAACAATCATTGTCTAAAATGTATTGTCTAAAATGTATTTTCAAGAGCAAACTCTATGATATCAATTTAATTCTATTTACTAATATTAATCCATTTCCAATTATTTACATTTTAATTTTACTAAAATTACCTTTATCAGGATGAACTCCTTTGTAAAATTTAATTAAGATTATTTTACCCATCAGTCTGAGCTTTTTTTTGCTTGTTTGTTCTGACCATGTAACAAATTTTACCAATTACTTTTCGCCACTGAGAATATTCTTTTGTGGCTCTGATTTCTAAAAACCTAATTTTCCCCGGAGTGCTTTTATCCTTCTGGCTCTGGAGGTCTAAATGTAAGCCTATCAGGGACACAAACGTCCATCACCTCCTACACCTGATGTTCGGAAAAGCTGGTCCAATGCACCCAGTATTGGGTAACCCAAGTCGTATAATTTCGGCATGCTAAGGAAAGTATGCTACCAAAATTAAACAGTACTCGACAGGGGCTTCGTGGATAATCAAGGAAATGAACGCCCCCTCTCTCATTTGGACACACCCCTTCTCTTCCCACTGGGAGCAGCGCTCGACGCGCATCTGTCAGTTTAGGGTTCCTGCAGGTGCGCGCCTCGGTTATTCCGCGAGTCTGGAGAGCAGCCGGGGGGAAGAAAGGGGGACAGATGACTCCGGGAAGCCCCACGAAGCTGGGAGGGGCTAAGCCGGGCCTGAGGGCGGGGCGGGCCCGGGGCCGCCTTCATCTCCTGGCCCGCCCTGCGCCACACCCGACCCCGCCTGCTTTCGGCTAACGGGCCGCGGCGCCCGCCTCCGCCCGCGAGCCCTCACCTCGCCCCGACGGCGGCCTCCGGGAGTCGGCGCCCGCCCGTCGCGCCGCCTCGCCGCCGTACCACCCGCCGCCTCCTCTGCAACCTCGGCCCACCGGGCGGACCCGGCCCAGGTCACTGGCGGCCCAGGCGCAGGTAGGCGATGGTACGCATGCGCAAGTCTTGAATTTCCCATTCGCTGCTGCTAAGCGACCCCCGCACCCGAACCGACCAATCCTGGAGCGCTTTCCCCGCCCGGTCCCGGAGGAGTCCTGAATGAGCGGATTCTTAAAGCGCTGCGACCCAAATGCCAAGGGGGTGTGGCAGAGGCGCGCGCGCCTCCCAACTTTCTTCCCATCTCGTGGCCCTCACCCGCGTGGGTTTGATGTCCAAGCCTGTAATTCCCACGTCCGGAAGTGCCAGGAGACTTCTCGGTCTTAGCTCGATTCCTGCCGGGGTAGAGTACATAACTGACGGGCGGAGGCAGGGAGGTTCCGCGTAACTGCGCGACACGCCCCAGCTGTGGGTTCCGTGTCTGCGCCGCTGAGCGGGAAGCCCGAGATAGGCAAACCAAAGAGCACAGCCTCCTGCCACCCTGGATGTGGTGCTAAAGTCCGACCCCGGAGGGACACACCCCAGTCTGGGGATGGAGGCACTCACAGTTATCACAGATGGATGGCCCAATGCAGGGAAGCAGAATTCGTCTATTTATTTTTCGTCCAACAAATTGTGAGCACCTGCTGTGTGCCAGACACTATGCCAGGCACTGGGGACGCAACGAGGAACTCCTGAACTAAAAACTATGTTAAGAAAGGGCAGAGTGAGAGCACCCATCATCAAACAATTAAACAATTACACATGTGTTCAAATACAAACAGATATGTGCTCTTCAGAGAGGAACAAGGTTTTTCAGAGAAGTTACAGGAGCTTATGGTCTGAACTTGGGAGTCCGAGGAGGCTTCCTTGAGAATGTGACACCAGCTGACTAGTAGCTGACTAGGCAAAGGGGGAAAGAAGAGTGTTTCGGACAGAGGGTAGAGTATGTATAAAGAACAGGAAGGCAGTAGGTCTCCTTGGAGGGATGAAAAGAAACAGGGTAGTACATGAGAAGCTAGGGTTTAAGAGGCACAGAATTTCAGTTGGGGAAGATGAGAAAGTTCTGAAAAATAAATGGTAGGGATGGCTGCACAACAATGTAAAATTTTAAATGTCACAGAAGTAAAAATTTAAATGTCACACATTTAAAATTTTAAATGTTACATTTAAAAATGGTTAAAATGGGAGCGCCTGGGTGGCTCAGTCAGTTAAGCATCTGCTTTCAGCTCAGGTCATGATCCCAGGGTCCTGGAAAGGAGCCCAGGGTTGGACTCCCTGCCCAACTGGGAGTCTGCTTCTCCCTCTGCCCCTCCCTCCCATTCATGCTCTCTCTCAAATAAATAAAATCTTTAAAAAAATAAAAATAAAATCTTTAATAAATAAATAAAAATTAAAATGGTTAAAATGGTAAATGTTGTATATATTTTACCACCAAAAAAAAAAAAAAGACATGAAAGAAAAAAACTCAGAGTTTAGAGAGTAAGGAATAGGGTGAGAGCCACTGGAGAGAAGAGCTCAGACCTGTAGCTAAGACATGTAGGATCCTGTAGGCCACGGTAGAAAGTTTAGGACAGTGAAAAACTGACCAAACTTGCATTTTGTAAAATCACTTTGGCTACTCTAGTTAAGATCAAAATGAAGAAGGCTCATGGAAGTTCTGACAGGACTAGCTGGGAACCAATGAGGCCATCTGGGCCTAAGAGGATAATGCTAGAGCTTGGGCTTGGACTGGAGCCATGGTGAGGAGGAAGAGAACTGGGCAGTCTTCAGAGACTCATAGGAGCAAAATCAACAAGACTTGGTGATGATTTGGATGTGAAGGGGTGACAAAGTAGCTTCAAGTGTAATGCCACTCTTCAGCCTTGAGTGAATGGGTAGCTAGTGGAGGGATTCATAGATATAAAGAACACTGGAAGAGGATCTGATTTTGGAAAGAAGAATGATCACTAGTTCCATCTTAGACAAACTGAATGAGAGGCACCTTTGAGATTTCTGGTTGGGATGTCAATGTAGGCAGTTGAATATATAATGTATACATGAATATACATTCCATGTACTGGTCTGGGCTGGACATAGACTTTTGAAAGTCATTACCACATGGGTGGAAATTGAAGCAAGCTTTACATAGCCAGAGAAAAATTACAAAATGAAAACAGAAGAGAGTTATGACAGAGTCCAAAACGACCTCCAGGGATCCCTGCCTCCTGGTATTCACACCCTTGTGTAGTCCCCTCCCACACTGAGTCAGGGTTGGCCTGTGTGATGAATGATTATGAAGCTAGGTCATAAAAGGCACAAAGGATAAAATCAGTGGGATTTGATTGATAAAGGAGATCGAAACCCCTTCAGTGTATGGGCCAGGAAAGAGGCTAGGATTCCCTTCTCAAAGTGCATTCACAAGGGAACGAAGATAGGTTCTTCTCACCACAAGTCATGAAAGCAAGGCTCTGGCTTGGATGGGGAAGGAAAAATTGGCGCCAGACCCACAAAATTCCAGAGCTTTTGAATGTGGAGCCTCAGGCTCTCAGGACCTGCAATGTGAGTGCTTTATAATAGGGCTTGGTGCCTTCTGATTGGTGCAGCTAGAGTGGCTCAGGCACCACAGTGGACTGGGCTAGAGATGGTGAGATGTGGCATCTGAAGTACTAGCCCTCCTCTCTAATCACTGGCCATTCTGACTCCAGAGGGTTTCTCTTCCAGGCTTCTTCATCCCTCTGCTTCCAAGGTCACACCCTGGACCTGTATCACCGCAGAAGAGCTCCAAGTCCGAAGTTGTAAATGCAGACACCTGATCTCTGACTGCCCCTGGGCTGTTCTCAGAAGTCTGCCCATTGTTCTCTGGCCTGCAGAAATCTCCAGTCCACTTGGCCTTTTACTTTGTTCTATGTATCACCTCTCTCCAATCTTTATTTCCTTCCCCATCAGCTGAAAGTCCAAGGTCTATCACTTCCATCACCTTCTTCCCGATATGCTTACCTCCATTGTGTGGTTATTCTTCTGTCACACCTGCCTGGCAGCACTCCAACTCTGGGGGAAAAAAAAATCCAACCTTCTGGCTTCTCTAAATCTGTTCCTGAGCTATAAGTCTTGCTGGAAAAAAATCTCAAAACCACACAGATCAGTGCTATGTATGTACATTGCCCGCCTCCACCAGGTCCTCAACACAGTCCAGCAGTCCTATGTTTGCCTCTCTCCAATTCTCCCTAACACCAACCTAAAAATCTCCCTCATGCTCCCCAGATCTTCCACTCTTCAACATTCCCCTCGCTCTCCGATGTGCCTCCTTCACTGAGGAAAGAGCAACCATTAAAGTGATAGGCTTCAGCTCCCACCAACTTCTGTCCCTCTAACTACCACCTTCATTCCCTTTCCCCGTTTACAGCCAAACTTCTTGGGGAAAGTGGCCTGCTCTAAAGGTTCCGTTTGCTTCACCTTTCCTGTATTTCACTGTCCCTGGCAATTCTCACTGCTGCCTCGACACATCACTGAAATTTCCTTCATTAAGGACATCAAAGATCTATTCTCTACCTAGATTGACCTTTCAACAGCCTTTGTATCTGCTGTCCTATCTAGCTTTCTCTTATTTCTTATATGACTGCCCCCCTCTCCTGGACTTCCTCTTATATCTCTAGTCTCCCCACCCCCCCATTCTCCTTTGTACTTTCTTTTCCTTAGCCATGAGAGAAACCAACTCACTCTCCTTGGGCAGGCCTTATCCACTGCGAGGTTCCAGTCAGTTTCCACAAGAGATGCTTCTCAAAGCTTAGGTTACCAACCCAGCTCTTGACCCTGAGTTCCAGACCCAAATAGCCACAAACTTCAACATGTCCGTTTGACATCACCTTGCATGCACATGTCCACGGCTGACTTTATCATTCTTACTGCCAGTCAGTTTCTCCTTCACTATTCCCTGTCTTCATAAATGGCATCACCAGTCTCTCAGTTGCCTAAGCCAGGACACCAGAAGTCATCCCTAATTACTCCTCTCCCCCCACCCATTAATTCATTAAGGCCTGCCAAGTCTATTCCTAATGTCTTTCAAATGCACAGATTTCTTTTTTCGCTGCTCTCACCATTTCTGGCCAGCATACCTGCAGCAAGTAGCCCTCTCCATGTTTTTGTTTGTTTTTTTTTTAAAGATTTTTTTTTAAAGATTTTAAAATATTAAAGAGCACAAGAGGGAAGAGGGTCAGAGGGATCATTTAGGATCCCTGCTGAGCAGGGATCCCGATGTGGGACTCGATCCCAGGACTCCAGGATCATGACCTGAGCCAAAGGCAGTTGCTTAACCAACTGAGCCACCCAGGCGCCCTTTCTTCTTCTTCTTGTCTGGCTGCCCTACCTTTCACCATATTATAGCCAGGAACACTCTAAAATGCATCTCTGACTTCATTTCTCTTTTGCCTGAAACCATCTATGGCTCTGATTTTTCCTAGGGGAGAGTCCAGGCTCTGGATACCTGTCACCTGGGTAACTTCCTCTTTATACTGAAACATCTGCTCTCCTGGAGGGCTTTCTCTCTATGCTGGACCGGGTTGGTCCCCTGCACCTGTCCCAGCATAACACCATCTCTGTTATTGTCATTCGCCATTTGTCTAAACAATAGAGCTGCACAGGACAAAGCAAGGTCTGCACTCTTCTCCTGATGGTTCCTTCTCTGCCCACTCTGTTTTCTGCAGAACCCCTGGGGACTTTGCCTGGGGAGGGAGCCCAGTGTGTGGTTAATAGTACAGGCTGGGAACCAGGAAGCCCTGAAGGTATGTTGCCCCACTTTTCTCACTGGGTTTATACCTCTGTGAAATGGGATGAAAGCTGCCTCCTCTCAGGGTTGAATAAGGGGACTGTGGAGGGAGAGCCCAGCAAAAGCAGATGAGCCTGCTCAGGGAAATGAAGCTCTATGAGGCAGAATTGCCCCAGACCCCTTTTGAGTAAAGGCTTCCAAGATCTTCCTCCTAAATGATGCGGCTGCTGCTCACTCTGCGTTGCAGGGAAAACCAGCCTTGTCCCCATGTCCACAATGGATGGGCTGAACAAGAGAGAAGACAACCACTTCTGAGTTTCAGGGTTGCCAGCAGTATATGTGGTCCAGGTGGGTGGGCCCAGCTTCCTTCTTTTATCATGCACCAAACCACCTCTGCAGTATGGTGCATGGGCAGTATGGGGTAGTAGTTAAGAACGAGGGTTCTAAAGCCATACTGCCGGGGCGCCTGGGTGGCTCAGTGGTGGAGCGTCTGCCTTCGGCTCAGGTCATGATCCCAGGGTCCTGGGATCGAGCCCCACGTCGGGCTCCCTGCTCCGTGGGAAGCCTGCTTCTCCCTCTCCCACTCCCCCTGCTTGTGTTCCTGTTCTCGCTCTCTGTCAAATAAATAAATAAAATCTAAAATAAATAAATAAATAAAGCCATACTGCCTGTGGACAGATACCCACTTTGCCCTTGGTAGCTGTGAGATCTTAGGCAGGTGACTTCAACCTGTTTTCTCACCTGTAAAATGGAGAAAATAATAGTGTTTTTTAGGGTTGTAAGCCTAATAAGCATTATTACCACCCAAAGGAAAAATAGGCATATGTGAAAATTTCTCCCTCAGCCAAGAGTGACGCAAACACCAGTGTTTTCCTAGGCCCTGCAGGGTTTGGCTTGGCTGAAGGCAAAGGCTAGGGTTCACGCTCCAGACGCAGATCTGGATGCACCAGAGTGATGTCGAAAGAGGAGGAGGAGTAGACTTGGAGCCAGGAATCTGGGTTCCGGCCACGATTCCCGTGTGACCCTGGGCAAGGTACTCCCACAGTCAGACAGGACACGCTGCCTGAGAGGTGAGGAGCCGGCGCGCGGCCCCGCCCCCGAGGCTAGCCTTCAGACTGCGCAAATGCAGAGGAGGGGCAAACAGCTCCGCCCCCAGGGGCGGGGCCGAGGCCGGCGCCCTGAGCACCGCTCTTGCGCGCCCAATCACAAATGACGTTCCGCCTGTTCCCAGTCAACGGGAGGACCCAATCAACGTCGAGAGCGTGAGCCCCACCTATCTTAGGTCCCTGCGGCGGCCGTAGTACGTCAGAGCTGCTGGTTGGCTCCGGTCTAGGGGCGCGGGGGTCCGCAGGGCCTGAGCCCGGGGCCCAACCTGGCTTTCCGGGATGTCGGTGGCCTTCGTACCGGACTGGCTGAAAGGCAAGGCGGAAGTCAATCAGGAGACGATCCAGCGGGTGAGCGCTAACTCGGGCCGAGAGACGTTCCTTAGTTGAGATCCCAAGGGCTGCGGGTGCGGGAAGCTTCCTGGAATGAGCGGCATCCCAACTGAGGCTTGTGGTGTGCGTAGGGGCATGACTTGCAAGGGTATGGAGTGAGATGGGAACAAAGTTGGCAAAGGCACCGAGGCAGGACAGCCCGGCATTGGAGAGAGTTGGTGGGCAGTGTTCCCGGCCGTCCGGATAAGGCGCTGCACTGACCCTTTCTCTGGTCTTTCAGCTCTTGGAGGAGAATGACCAGCTCATCCGCTGTATTGTGGAGTATCAGAACAAAGGCCGGGCGAATGAGTGCGTCCAGTAAGTACCCGCTCCACCCCCCCGACTTCTGAGTGTAGAGTGAAACCAGTATGGTGATACAGCAGCTGTCCTGAACTAGGAGTCTTGGATAACTGATCGCGGATGATTCTCAGAGAGGTTGCATACCTGCCCAGGACTACACAGACAGCACATTGTGAAGGCTGGAGTCAGACGTGGCACCCTCTTCAAAATTTGAATAATGCTCATTGCAGACCTCCTTCACGTAGACAGGTCAGCTGATGACAACAGGGATGGGGAAAGGAGCACATGAAAAACTAGTCTCAGGAGATGTGAGCTCTGGCCCCTTTCCCCTCATGGATCCCCAGTTTATCCTTTTTCTGAGGGGCGTCTGACCATTTGACTGCTAAGTTCCTTTTTTTTTTTTAAAGTAGGCTCCACGCCCAGCATGGAGCCCAACGCGGGTCTTGAATTCACCACCCTGAGATCAAGACCTGAGCTGAGCGCCCCGCCCCCTTCATTTTCTAACTTGCAGTCAGTCTGTAATGCATGCAGGGAGGGACCAATAAGACTTACAAGTTAGGCCAAAGGCAACTTCTGCACAGTAATGAATGTGCTCTCTAGCTATATTCCAAAATTAAAGAAAATAGTCTCTTTTTTTAAGAGAATATTAAATCATTTATTGATTACATATGATAATGGATGATACACAAGCTTTAATCCCATCTGTAATTTTATCTGATACCATAATTCAATTTAGATATATTGCATAGGATGTGCCAACAATCGTATTAATAACCAAATAAACGCCAGGACTTTGCTTGGGTGACCCTTTTAATGGTGAACTCCAGGTCACAACACATTAACTGTCGGTTCAACTACACCAAGGTTTGTGGAGACAATGGCTTCTGTGCCCAAGCAGGTTGCAAATCAATTTTGAATGGAACCTGGCATCACCCTGAATAATTCTAACTTCACACTGTTGGGGTAGTATACCAAGATGGCTTCAGAGTAGACTAACTTTACACAGCACATTTAAAAAAAAACACATTTATTTGGCATCATGATCAGACTATTACATTTAGCAATCAACAGCATGGGTGCAAAAAAAAAAAATCTACATTAAAACCCTTTGTTGGAATGCTTTACACTTTCCATAGAACAGAAACTAAAATAACCTGTTTTACAATTAGTCACAAATACAGTCCTCCAGTTTTTTGCCCATACACATGAGTATTGTCTAAAACATGTCTTCTTTGTAGCAGCTAGGCCCTGCCATCACTGTGCTTGGCTGAGTTCACAAATCTGTTGTAACCTGTAGCTTCCCTATCACTTCTCTGGCTTTCCTCTTCTGCTAAGCTTTGTTTCCTGGCAGTAATTAAAACCTTCTGCCACTGCCATAGCTACTGCTGCTGCTGGAACCACCATAGCCACCTTGGTTTCGTAGTTTGGCAAAGTATTGGCCTCTACCACCACAGGGGCCAGAGCTTCTGCCTCCAAAATTTCCTCCTTTCATGGGTCCAAAATTTGAGGATTGATTGTTGTAATTGCCAAAATCATTATAGCTTCCGACACCTCCAGAGTTGCTTCCATCATTACCAAATCCGTTATAGCCATCCCCACTGCCACCTTATCCACCACCACCTCGACTGCCACCAGAGCGACCTCGCCTGCCACCAGAGCGACCTCGCCCACTGAAGTTCCCTTCATGACCAAAGTTGTCATTCCCACCAAAACCACCTTCACGACTACCACCAAAGTTTCCAGAACCACTTCGACCTCTTTGGCTGGATGAAGCACTAGCCATCTCTTGCTTAGATAGGGCTTTCCTTACTTCACAGTTGTGGCCATTCACAGTATGGTAGTTTTGAATGACCATCTTGTCTACAGAGTCATGGTCATCAAATGTTACAAAAGCAAAACCTCTCTTTTTGCCACTGCCTCAGTCTGTCATCTTGATCACTTCAATTTTCCCATACTGTTCAAAATAATCTCTTAGATGATGTTCTTCAGTGTCTTCTTTAATGCCACCAACAAAAATCTTTTTCACAGTTAAGTGGGCACCAGGTCTTTGAGAATCTTCTCTTGAGACAGCCCTCTTTAGTTCCACAACTCCTCCAACCACCTTGTGTGGCCTTGCATTCATAGCTGCATCCACCTCCTCCACAGTGGCATACGTGACAAACCCAAAGCCTCTGGAGCGCTTGGTGTTTGGATCTCTAATTACCACGCAGTCCGTAAGCATTCCCCATTGCTCAAAATGGCTCCTCAGACTCTCATCGGTTGTTTCAAAGCTCAAACCTCCGATGAAGAGCTTCTGCAGCTGTTCAGGCTCTTTGGGAGACTCTGACTTAGACATGACGGCGGTGGGAGGGGAGACTTTAATGATGCTTACTTGGCGGTGTCCATGGGCAGAAAGGAGTAATCTAATGAACGTATCTTGAAAACGGTCTCTTTTCTAAATGTAGTCCAGGAATTATCCTCCATTTATTATAGAAAAATACATTATTTCATTCTTACTGAAGACATCTTTAAGAAAACCATCCTTTTCCCATCTCCCAGAAAAAAATCATCTATAGTTCCTCACTGAACAGGTCAATGAAATAGTAGAGATATCCATCTTTGGGTAAGTCTTTACATTTGGTTCTGGCATCTGGTAATTTGTTTTTTTGCAGTTTATAGTAAACTCTCATTTTTCTATATGGAAAACAGTTGCAAAACATTCCTTTTGGTGTAGTGATTCTCAACCTATGGGTAAGAAAGTTACCAAAATTTCCGGGTGGGCTTTTTTACATTACATGGGCCATGCTTCCTGCCTCCCCAGCCCCCCCAGTCTGATTTGCCTTCCTAGGTAGAGAATTTTACCCCCTGATTGAGAATCACTACTATCGTAAGCTCATACTGATACCATAGAAGTGCCTTGTTCCTTCTTTAACTTTGTTCCACAAATATTTTGTAACTACTACTGAGTACCAGACACTGTTTCAGCTACTGGGGAATCAGTACCAAAACCAGCTCTGCTTTTTATCAAATCAGGTACCAGCTCTGCTTTTGTGAATCTAGAGGGAGGAAATCATACAATTAGGCGCATACTAATAAGTGCTTTGAGTAAGAATAAAGCAGGTTAATTGGCAGGAAGGGGTGCTGTTTTACAGAGGGTATCTCTGGTGAGACATCTACTCAGATGTCCTCACCAGAGGTGAGGGAGCCAGCTACATAAATATGTACGGCAGAGACAGCATCAGGTGGAAGAGCCCCCTAGGCTAGAGCACACTGGTTATCTTCAAGTCACAGCAAAGAGGACACTGCAGCCAGAACTCAGAGAGTGAAGGGAAAGTGGTAGGAGCTGAGGTCAGAGAGATAACTAGCGGCCCCAATCGTGTAGAGCCTTGTAGGCCACCAGAAGGGCTAGACGGGTTCAGCTTTACTCAGAATGAGAGAGGAGCCTTTGGAGGGTTTTAATCAGAGGTATGGCAAGTCTTGACTTAAACTGTACAATAATCACTTGGGTTGCTATGTGGGGAATAGAGTAGGAGTGCAAAGGTAAAGCAGGGAGACCAGTTAGGAGACTGGTCCAATACAACAGTGTACGCAAGGATAGTGGCTTGACCCAGAGAGGTAGCTATGAAAGTGATAAGTGAGAACAGATAGATTCTAGATATATTTTCATTGGTGTTAATCAAGGAGGTTGATGATGTTGAATCATCCAATCAATAGATGAGCCATTCCAGTAGAGTGGGTAAATTCCTTCCCAGTCTTTTGTTCATGTTCAGCAAAACAAAGCCTCTGATTTTTGCCTTTTCCACCCATAGATACCAGCATGTGTTACACAGAAATCTCATTTATTTGGCTACCATCGCAGATGCCAACCCAACCAGTGCTTCAAAAGCAATGGAATAATCTTTCAGTTGTCTGTCGTGAGGAGTAATTGAGGATAATCCATGTCCTATGAAGTAAAGACAGGATCTTTACCAACTCAACTGCTTAAAACACGGATGAACCCTTGTGCCTCTTTTAAAAATGTGAAAATGTGAAGAAAGCTACTAATGAACTGTATTCTCAGTGTAAATATTTATTTTAATAATTAAGCAGATTAAGTTGACTCCAGATGTTCTCTTTCCTGAAATGGGCATGTTTGGATAACAGAGATATCATGGGCATCTTCAATTCTACCTCTTCAGTTTCAACATGAAGATGAAACTGATTAGGTGGTGGGCAAGCAATAGCAATTGACGAGACTCCTAACTGAGGCGCTGCCGAGTGGATGTGTAACTCTGTGCTCCCCACTGTCAGTTGTAGTGGTGGACCTAACCATTGTTTTCAGGCTGCTTTGAAATAAAGCTTGCCTTTCCACAGAACACTCATATTGAGGTATAGAGATTTTCATAAGATAAGTGTTCTATTTGGTTTTCCGGAAAAACTGTAAGAACTTAAAAATATATGTAACAACACCATTATCATTGGTAACAAAATCAATAGTAATTCTTAATTACTACTTAATATCATCTACTAATATCTTTTCAAATACTTTTTTAAAATACCTTCTTTCTCCTGTCTTTTTAAGGTTCTTGGCTGGGGCTCTATACCAAAAGACAGATTAACAAAAGAAAGTTTTATGTGACATGGGAGGCCTTCATAAAGAAATGAAGACCCAAAGAAACAGTTAAACCTGAGTATTTTTATATGAGATCAGACGAAAAGTGGAAAACTGAGACAGAAGGATATGAACAAAGTGTAGTAAATTGGGGAAACTTAACATGGTCTTTTCGTTCAAATTCTCAGTGTTGCTCCATTTTAAGAGATAAGGATGCTCCTTTCTTCTGAGTATAGGGAGGGCACCTCTCACATGAGGGTCTTATGATCTGCTTCATGGGAGGTCAGAAAGTCCTTCCAGCATCTGCCATTTCTGTTTCTTCCACTTGAAATATTCAATAAGCCAACGTGCCATAGTTTGGAGTAGCATGTCCTGAGCCCCATCAATTATCACAGAATGTCTTTTTGTTGATTTCTCTAACTCAGGATCCAAACAAGATTCATACACTGCCTTGTGTTGATGTCCCTTAAGTCTCTGTGAAAATACTTAGCAGTTCCCCTTCTTCTTTGCCATTTGTTTCGAAAGACTAGGTCATTTGCCCTAAAATTTCTCATATTCTGTATTCACCTAGTTGTATCCCTATGGTGTCATTAAATATGTCCCACTAGTGCCCACTTTTCCTATAAACTGGTAGATCTAGAGGCTCAGTCAGACTCCGATTCTAATATTTTTGGCAAGTATACATCATGGCAGGTAAGAGGTACTTGCTTTTGCATCACATCAGGAATGACCTGATTTGATTTATTAATCAGGTGCCTGATAGCCTTTTGCTTAAATTATGACCTGCCTAGTTTTGATCTATTATTTCATTAGGGAAAGCATACTGGTGATTTCCTATTTTATCATCCCTTCTGCCTTTATTAGCTTTGTTCGATAAAGAACTTTCCTTCTTTGAGACTTAAATGTAAAATGAGGCAAGGAGATTTTCCTAAGTGAACCCAAAATTAGAATCTCCGATGCCTGGCTCCTTTTGTAGGAATCAAGGGTTGCAACCCAGAGAGACTAAATGTGTAAATAGTGAAGAGAGACCTCATTTTGAATCCTAGCTCAATTGCAGTCTTTGAGAGCTCTTGTTTCACCTATAAAATGAGGATAATGAAAGTAGTATCTGCCACCTGAGGTTGTGAGATTGAGATACTGTGGTTGAGAGCTGGGCACGAAGTAATGTATGTTAATGTGTGCTCTGATGTGTTATCTGATGGCTCTGGCCTTTTCAGGCCCTTCTCAAGCCTGGGAAGAAGCCTGTTCTTTGCTCCCTCACCCATTTTTCCATCCTTAGGGTCCTAGCCCATTAATGGACTCTTCCTCCCCCCACTGTTCATGGGGTTGATGCCCATATACTAGGCCAAGTGGGCTGCTCATGGGCCTGACCTGGTCCGCAGATATGGTGGGCACTATGCAATGTTTTTGTTTTGAATTAGTTCCTAACATTTAGAGAGGATTTCCCATTATAGCCTGGATTTCTAGCAATGCTGGACCTGCAGGTCCACATGGCAACCATCGGCTGGAGTTGGATGGCAGCTGTCTCCCTTTACTAGGCACCTTGACTTGTTTACATATGTCTTGGCCTGAGCTGGGATGAGAGCATCAGCTGATGTTTCAATTTAGGTCTCGCCTCAAACAAGCCTGAGACAAGGCCTTGGGTGCAGATAGTTTATTTGGGGGACGATCTCAGGAAGCAGGAATAAGGCCATGAGGAGAGTGAGACAGGGAAGAAGGAAAAGCCACTAAATGTGTGTGTTACCAAGGTTACTCCTATAGGCAATAAGGACTCAATCCGGGCGGTAGGGGGATGATCTCAAAAGCATACAAATGCCCCAGAAGTGTCCGCCTGAGTTGGGGTTCCCTACAGGGGAGTTCAGTCCCCTGGACTAACAAGCAGCCTTTGCAGCCAAGTCCTAGATGTCAGAGGAGGAAGAAAATAAAAAGCTGCATGGCAGCCCCTGAGGGGGGCTTCTGCCAGCACAAGGTGAGTCTGACCTTGTAGGAACTGTCCACTGCTGGCAAGGTAGGCGAGGGTCTGTGACAGAGCATCAGAGGTTCCAGTGTGTGGGCTCTGAGCAAGCCAGTAGGGCCTATAGTAGGAACGTGTAGGAGAGGCAATAGCCTTGAAGACAAAAGTTCAGTTCTCCCTCAGGGGGAAGGAGTTTGTGACCTGCTGTTTCCCACCCTTTGTCTCTTGGAAGGTATTTCAGTCCATGTGTAGAGGACTGAAGCAGGGCAAATCACAAGCCTCTGGAAATGGCCAAGGCTATTTAAGCCACAGTTTACCCTACTCTCCAAAGGGCCCTTTTCTGGGGAGATACGCTGGAGAAGCTGCGGCAGGCCACTTAGCTGTCATCATATGTGCCCCCCAGCTTACCTCTACCTGTCTGCTTCAGAGACCACCTGAAGCACAAGTATCTGCCATCCCTCTTAAAGGACCCAGAAATCAATATAATTGTGAAAGGTGATTTAAAAAGGTAAAGACCAAACCTGGCCAGAATGTATTAGCCACTCTCTCTTCTCAGAGGACCTCCTACTTCAAGATTAATCCTCTACTCAGCCTGTCTGCCCTTTTCCAACTCTCAGGGTCAAGCTGATCTCTGAACAGCCTACATAGGGCCTGAGCCTTTCTCTGGGGTTTCCAAGCCTGCTTCCCAGGATTTGCAACTGTGGTGACTGACTTCTGTCATTACCACATTCTCCTGAGGTGAGGATATGGCAGCTAAAACAGAGAGAGCAGATAATTTGAGGTCGGGTTTATTCCACAAGATGTGAAGCTATTTTTCCACTTCCTTGTGAGGCTTTTTGACATCCAAGTCTGACTTTTGGGGACCCCAAGTCACAATATGGCTAGGGAGGAAAGGATGTTCAGTGCTATCTCATATGTTCTTGAACCTCTGTAATAAACTTCCGTTACTAAAGGTGATCCTGAGTATATTTCTTAAGCTGGGTACATAATATCTTCATTTTATTGTTACTCTACCTCACACGTAATATGGTTTTGATTCCATTTTAATAAAAGCAATTTTAAGAAGTTATCTGTTACCTCTTTTCCCAATGAAAATCCTACAGATTCCTCTGGAATCTAGACGTTCTGTTCAGTCACTGGGAACCTTTCTTTCCTTCCTAAATTTTTTAAATAAGAGTCTAGGGTTCAAAGGGAGGTTGTTTTCGTTTCTGTTTGTGATAAACTCATTCATTCAAAAACTATTTACTGATCCACTAGTATGCGCTGAAGGTACTGCAGTGAGGAAGTCAGACAATGTCACTGCTCTCGTGGAAACGTTATTCTTATATAAGAAGACAACACAGTATAAATAACCTGTATTTATGGGGGAGACAGGCAATAAAATATAAACAATCAAGGAAAGCTTCACATGGTAATGAGTGGCTGTAAAGAGACTTACAACAGGGTCATGTGCTGGAGAGTGTCTGGGTGGCTACTTTAAATTATGGAGTAAGGAATGACCCAAGGAGGTAACACTGCAGCTGAGAGATGAATAACAAGGAACCTGACACGTGACCATCAAGGGACCTAGCAGTGCAGGCAGAAACAAGAGCTATGCAAAGACCTTTCATTCCAACCGGGTTTTTTTCTCTCTCGAGTCCATTTTAGAGCAGTGTTCACCTATGTGGTTATCAACTCAATTATAACATGAGTTCTCAGTTGACCAGGCCTTGTGTTGGGCTCTACAGTGAGGAAAATAGAGGAGAAGGGTCACTGGGCCCTGCTTTCAGGGAGCTCCTAATAAGCCTGGCAAGACAAAAGAGACCCACACCCAGGCATGGACCAGGGCACTATGCAGGATCGAGGATGCTGAGAAATTGTCCTGAGATATTGAAGCTTCAGGGATTCCAAGTGGAAATTATCAAATGCTTCTTATATATCATAGAAAAAGTCTATGCTTCTCACTTCCTGAGCACTCTTTTGACTGCAAACAAAAAATTGCCAGTTGCAGCAGAAGCTTTCAGTATCCCACACTCATTCCCTGAACTGTACTCCTTTAACTGTGTTGCAACTGACTCCCAACAGTCCATATCCATATCTCTATCCTGAGGACTTTTTTCTAAAACAGGAAGTCTGCCTTGCCCAGGCATAGCCGACCAGAAGAACCTGGGGATTACCGTGCTGGGAACAGCTCTCAACTACTGACTCTAATTGAACATCCCAGCTCCCTCACCCCTCCATAGGGACAATTCCAAGATGTTTCTTCTTCTGTACTGGTTGCCAGAGTTCCCCATCAGGGTTAAGCTCTAATCACCACTACGGTAGCTGGCTTAATAGCACACACTTTACTGCCTATCTTCCTTGTTCACTTCTCCACCCTCTAGATGGAGTTTCCTAGGGCCACTTCTCAAATAAGCAACTTACACTCAAACCATTGTCAGAGTCTTCTTCTGAGGGAAACAACCAAGATACCACACCCTGGGTGGGTAGACCCAGATGGACTGGCTGAGCAAATGTAGCTTCCATTAGTACCACAGCAGATGAAAAATTTTTACCAAAACCCAATCTACTTGCAAAAACTAGTGTCTAGAAAAAGCATAAGAGCCAAGGACTCAGCAGAATTTATAGTTTGAAATCAGAGAACAAGTTGATCAATATAGAGTAAGGAACCTGCCTGACAAGAAGTGCTTGTTATAGTGAGTCTTTCATATGAATTTGATGGCATACAAGCTCCCAACTGAAGACAATGAAGGATTAGACATTTGTGAATATGTAGTCATACTTTAAAGCAAGGTAGTGGGAAAAAAGCCACTTGCCTAAAAGGCCAAAAGGTGGGTGCAGTATCCACAGTTCAGGTGACTTTTTTTTAAAATTATTTAAGACCTTTATTAATGGGTGCTTGCCGTTTGTTGACTTTTTTGAAAAAATCAAGTTGTAAACTTTTTTTTTTAAAGATTTTATTTATTTGACAGAGAGAGAGACAGCGAGAGCAGGAACACAAGCAGGGGGAGTGGGAGAGGGAGAAGGAGGCTCCCCTCAGAGCAGGGAGCCCGATGCGGGACTCGATCCCAGGACCCTGGGATCATGACCCGAGCCGAAGGCAGACGCTTAACGACTGAGCCACCCAGGTGCCCAAGTTGTAAACTTTTATTACAAATTAAAAAATGAGGTTCTTAAAAATCTCGACTTGACCAGATATGAAACAATTTAAAAGACTTTAAAGCTGTCTTGAGAAAACTCAGGCTTTAAAAAAAAAGTTTGGCATTACCAAAAAGAGACGTCTTTAGGTAAAACTAATAAAAACCCCATGCTGCCAAACTGTGGAAAGAGCCAAGATGTCCATCGACAGATGAATGGATAAAGAAGATGTGGTATATATACACAATGGAATATTACGCAGCCATCAAAAGGAATGAGATCTTGCCATTTGCAACAACATGGATGGAACTGGAAGGTGTTATGCTGAGTGAAATAGGTCAATCAGAGAAAGACATGTATCATATGACCTCACTGATATAAGGAATTCTTAATCTCAGGAAAGAAACTGAGGGTTGCTGGAGTGGTGGGGGGTGGGAGGGATGGGGTGGCTGGGTGATAGACATTGGGGAGGGTATGTGCTATGGTGAGCGCTGTGAATTGTGCAATACCATTGAATCACAGATCTGTACCTCTGAAACAAATAATGCAATATATGTTAAGAAAAAAAAAA